AGAAAGGGACGAAAGATAAAAACAACGAGGCTGATAGTGGCTGGTAGGTAGTCTAGAGTAAGGGGAGAAGCTACTGAATTTGTTAGAAAACTTGGGGTCTCATCCATGTGTGCTGCCGATAAACAGTCTGCCCTAGGAAAAGTCACCACACTTCCTTTTCAGTTTTCTTATCTGGTTAATAAAGAGGTCTACTTTAGGGTTCCTTCCCATGCTAGGATTTTATGATCTGTTGCAAAGAAGTAACTATGCAGTAGGACATTATTGTATGAGTCACTTGTTTTGCACATGGTTTAACTGGTTTTCTTTAATTGCATGATTTAGAGACAATTTAGTAACCAGCAGTTTGGCATGGTACTGTTGACTGCATGTGGAGAGCGCACCCATCAATGATTAGCTTGAGTTACAGCTTTACAACCAAGAGTGTCTCATTTTGTGGTGACTATATCAACTGCAACTGTAAATAATGCTATGAGTTAAAGGGCCCCTTCCTAACAGATTAGAAAGTATGACTACGATAACAATATCGGTCAATGCTTGAGTTATTTCTCTGCTCTTAGAACAGATTGTTAGGCCACGTGCCTGTTAAGTGTATTGTAACACAGAAAATCAATTACTGCACCCTCCAGTATCACAGGGTGAAGCTATTAAACATTTCATCAGGAAATTGCAAAGTGCAGATATAAAGTTCTTTTATTGTGGGGAAGCCATCGTAACTCTAGTACTTTCTAGGTATTTACCATCAGCTTATAAGACCTACCGCGGCAAGTGTTACAGTAACCTCGTTAACACTGAAACCATTTGGTGGAGGAGACAGAGGGTGATAATAAAAATAAAAGCCAAATGTTTTCATGGGGAAGCCTGCCTATGTCCTGTCTACTCTTGGCAGCTGTCCACGCTGCTGAATAGAGAAAAAAGTGTCCTGCCTCTAGTTTTTGAAAAGGCATGTCTTTCTTTCCTTGGCCTTTACCTCTGTTTAAAATGGAGACTATCCACAGTCCAACCACATTTTCTTTTAAGGTATATTTGGAATTACTTGAAAGGTAGATGGTATTATCCCCAGTGAAGTCCGTCTCCAAAGACAGGCTGTGGAACTGAAAAAGAGAGGGCCCAGGAGGCAGATGGTGTTTACAGTGCACATAGAATCTCAGTATTAACTTTTAGAGCAGGAGGACTCAGAGCCTTGGCAGCGTCCCAGAACCGAATGGTGTTCCTCTGATGGGTGTGAACCATTCCCTCTGTCTGTGGGCTGTACTGTTCCCACCACCCATACCACTGAAGTGCCAACGGATCTGCAGTGGACCTTCCCATAGCTGTGTGGTGAGATGCCTTCCATCGTGTTTCTAATCCTTGCCAATTTCTTTCCAGACAGAGCTTTTTGTACATGCCTTTAAGGATCAGCTGGTCAGAAGCGCCCTTTTAGCACTTTATACTGCTAGGCCGGGAGGCGTCCTGAACAAGCCACCCTCTCCGAAGAACAGCACAGAGGACAGCTGTCCCCAGGACCCACCCCCGCCAATGCGGAGGCAGGACTCCATACCCCATCATTCAGACTACGATGAGGAAGAGTGGGTGAGTCTCCTCACATGGCCTGCCTCCCAGTGTTTAGTCCTGAGAAAGAAAGCCAGCATGATAAGAAATTTCTGCTTTTCGTCAAAACAAGGTGGAAAGCAGTCACAACACAAATTGTGGATAAATAGGCCACATTTTTCCTTAGGGGCAAATTATAAATGGAAGTTTTATTCCTGATGGCATTTTTTTTGACATAAAAATTTATTTGCTGTCAAATAAATCGTATTTATGTAACCAAGACTATGCCATCAAAGCAAAGGTGTCACAATTGCAAGACTCTATAACACTTTTTTCTTATTTATTGCCAAGGTACTATAATCCATTAAAAATTGTTTTTTTTAGAAAGAGTCAGAAATTATCCATAATGCACTGCTTCAATGCAACAAGTATTTTCATTGTTGCAATCCAGTGTTTTATGCCTGGGCGTACTGGAGATATTATTAACATTTAAATGGCAGTGGACATAGAGGTCTCTTAAATCCCTCTCATTCATGATTCTATGATTTAAAAGATGTTGCTTCAGGTGCTCTAAAATTGGCAGAAGGATGGCCACACAAAAGCATCTGAAAAAAAGAGCTAGGAAAGCCAGGTAAACAAAAGAAGCCAGGTGGACTGGAACTCTAGTTGGGCAGAATAAGACAGAAGACATGTGAAGGTACCAGATGAGGGGAAACAAGGTTATTTCTGAATCGATCCCTATTAATTATCCAAAATCCCTGTAAGTCACATTCAGACACAGAAGGAAACTCTCTACTGTATCATGTTTAACCAAGAATATGTATGCTAGCTGTATTAGATGTTAAATAGTAACAATGACTTTTCCTGCCACCCTAAAATTTTAAAATGCTCTGGGAATAAATTATTTGAAAGGCCCAGATCTCTCTCAAAAAAAAAAAATTGCTGTCTGACGAGCTATGAAGTGATGCCTGCTCCTCCTTCTGATAAAATTTCTATCACAGGAAAAACAGAGCCAGGTTCCAAGAGGGTAAATGCTGAATCAGTATTTGTTGTTGCTGATTAAGATTGCATTTCTACCACTGAAGCATTTTCAAAAAAGCAAATCTAATATTTCTTCCTTTTACCTCACCTTCTTCTTCAATTTATTCACAGCTCCAAAGCATTCGCACCTCTTAACCTCTCTGAAGTTCAGTTTTCTCAATCTCAAAGTGAAAATAACAGCAGCTGTTCTGCTTCGCTCTTAGGGAGGTCCTGAGATAAATGATTTACCTGTATGATACTGCTCAGTTACTCAGAAAGGCCTAGGCAAATGCATCAGGTTACTTGAATATTATTGCTATATGCTTCCCTTTTTAGTATACGTAAATTATATAATCTTACTATGAGGATCAATAACGATCCCTGGAAGTAAATGGGAAAAATCAATTTATCGTAAAATATGTATTGTGAACTTTAAGAGTTTGGGTAGATATAGAAAAGAACTTGTATTTCATTTAACCAAACATACAGTGTTCAACTTTTGACAAATCACCATTTTATATTAAATGAAGTGAGAATTTTAGAATTGGGTGTCATTTGTTTTCATAATTTTTACCTTACTGTGTTACGCAAGCCCTCCCCACATCTCACCTTCCACCTGCTTCACAAGATGTCCCTCTCCTTCCCTCCTTCCTTATTTCCTTTTCCTTAGATAATTTTGAGACCGTCTAAATTGTAGGTGTTCCAAATGTGAGGGTAAGTAACACTAGGTCCTAGAGCTCAGAGTCTAGTTGTAGATGAAAACATGTTAAGAGATAGCTATAAAATGTTGTGACAAAGGGTGGAAAGAGACAGATGGTAGAAGATGGGCTCTACCAGTATGACTTCAACTCAGCATCTTACATACAGAACCTTTTAATGATGGAGAAAGATGGAAGAGTTGAGGAAGTTTGCCGTGAGCCATTCAGTCCAGGGGGTTGTCCTGAGCACCTGTTCTGCCTGGTTCATTCTTTCTGAGGGCTGTGAAAAAGGAGCTCTTCCCGGCCTTCTCCTGGGCTTGTGGGTGGTCATCTTCATGTTCACAGGATGTTCTCTTGGTGTCCCATGATGCCTCCAAATGTCCCCTTTTCATAAGGACACAGGAGAACCATCCTCTCCACAGCCTTTGGGTTGTACACAGGATAAAGCAGGAGTCTGGTGGTCATGGTGGAACTTCCAGAAATAATTCTTAAGGTTGAAATGTGAATAGAAGTTAAGCATTCCAGAAAGCGGATGAGTTGGCCTTTTAGACAGGGACCCATTAGCCGACAAAGGGCGAGGGTGGAGGGGTGGGTGGTGGTGTTATTAGTAGTTGTTTACTTGTTTTGTTTTAAAGGTGGTGAAAATTGGGCCTGTTGATGCTCCAAAAGCCATGTGAGAGTCAGGGAAAAGATGACTAATAGAGTGAGGTCCTTACAAAGGAGAAAAGAGAATTAATTCTAAGACATACGTAAAAGGATACATCCCAGGCAGAACTTTTTTCCCCTGAGACTGCTGGGAGGATATAAGGATGGTCTTTACTTTTGTGAGAGTAGGGAGGACTGGTTGGCATATTTTTTGTTAGGTTAAAATACTTTTCCAGTTTGATTGACATATAATTGTCATACAACATTGTATTAGTTTTAGGTATATAACATAATGATTTGATATATATTGGAAAATGATCACAATTAATTTAGTTAACATTCAACCCCTCACATGGTTACACATTTTTTTCCTGTGATGAGAAATTTTAAGATCTACTCTCTTAGCAATTTTAAATATACAATACAGTATTTTTTTTTTCTTTTTAGCTGAGCCATCCTGCCATCTGTTGGCAGCTCAGCTCAGCCAGGACTTGAACCGCTGTTGTTCAGAGCTCACACTCTTGAGCGAGCTCTTAACCAACTGAGCCACTCGGCCGGCCCTTATACAATACAGTATTGTTAAAGATAGTCACAATGCTGTATCTTATATCCCCAGAATTTACTTATCTTATAACTGGAAGTTTGTACTTTTTGATGTCCTGTGCTAGTTTTTCCCACCCGCCCACCTCTGGCAAACACCAATCTGTTCTCTGTTTCTATGTTTTGTTTTTTTTAGATTCCACATATAAGTGAGATCATATGGTATTTGTCTTTCTCCATCTGTCTTATTTCACTTAGTGTAATGCCCTCAAGGTCCATCCATGTTGTTGCAAATAGCAGGATTTTCTTCTTTTTTATGGCTAAATAATATTCTATTGTGTGTGGTATGTATGTATATGTAGATATACATATATATGTGTGTGCGTGCATGTGTGTGTATAATATATACACACACACACACGCATGCACACACAGGGTGCCAAAAAAATGTATACACATTTTAAGAAAGGAAAAAACTATTAAAATTGTAATACTCAATATATACCAATAACAAAAGATGAATACAAGTC